AGAGAGAGAGAGACTGTTGAGGTATAATTCTATTAGCGAATCTCAGCCTAATTTTCCCTTTTCTTACAAACTGCTCACTTGCGAATAGGTGTACGAATGATCCAATTTGGGTTTAGGCCTTCGTTATTCGATTCAATCCAAACCTAACCAAATTTCACTCCAGATATATATATATATATATATATATATATATATATACACGCACAGGTACCAATATAGATAAATATACATACATGTACGTATATACGTACATATATAAAGATACATACATATATACATACGTATGATGAAAGATATATGTACGTATGTACGTGTATATATATATCTATATTTGTACCTGTGTTTCTCGTGACTCGTGTCACAATCGCACTCTTGCAACAGCAGAATGACAATTATTCGACACTTATTTTAATCCAACAAACAAGTCGATCGTGAGAGTTTTGAGTTTCGCAGACAAAGTCAGCGTATGCTCAAGACTCAAGTTACGTTGGAAAGAAATGTTTTAGAAAACATGAGCGAGAAAGTACGTTTAAAAACAATTTCAAAGAAAATAATGTTATAAGCTAAAAGCAATTAGACAACAACAATGACTCTTGCCCGAGTAGTAAGAAGTGACAACTAGTCATATCCACCTACGGTACATTTTGGGGCATTTTAGCCATGACTGATGTAGACATGATTTTGAAGAACAGTCATACACTCCATATAAACATGTAAAAAGGGGTTTAGAACGGGCATGCGACCATGGACAATATGTCCTAGACAAGTATAACCGAAGCATTCGACATACAGTCATAGATAACACGTCTTAGATGAATATACCTGGCAGGTTTTCGATTTAAAATATTTTAAAACTATTATTTTTTATTTTTAAAATTTTATTATTTTTTATTTTTTCCTTAAGAGAGGCAAATTGAAAGCATAGTTTGAAAAAGGAAGAAAAACAATGTCTTATCAAGGGATCAAAAGTCATAGGTGGACGAGTAAATTAAAAGATCGCCAAATTTCAACGATTCCTTTCCTTCTTAAAGAAGCAAGCCGGAAAAGGCCGATAATGGAAAGAGGGCCTTCGTCAATCACAAATTTCCACCATTAAATTTCTCATCGGAGTTCGCCGATGTCACCGCCGTCCACTGTTTTCACTGAAGCCGAAGCTAGAGCCCTGGAATAGTATCAATCATGACCTCGAGCGCGATGGCGGCGACGGCTCAGCAACACCAGTGGAGCGACGAGGAGACGAGGGAGTTCATCCGGATTCGAGCCGACCTAGAGAGGGACCTGATGGCGGTTTCCACCGGCGAAGGTGTGGCGGTGAAGAAGAAGACACTGTGGGACATGGCGAGTGCAAGGATGAGAGAGCGAGGGTTTTGGAGGACCGCCTATCAGTGCAAATGCAAGTGGAAGAATCTCCTCAGTCGCTACAAGGTTCGTCCAGTTTTCATTCCGTATTCATTTGAGGATTTTTTTTTGAATCAGTCTGTTCTCCGTTATGTTTCTTTCAAGTGGGCTCCTCTGAATCTGGACTGTTCTTGCTTTGATATTTTGATTCTCGTGGATTTCGATAGGGTTCAATTTTGCCATTTATGGTTGCAGATTCTTAAAGTTAAATCTGAGAAAGGTAGTAAAATGCTGATAATGTCTCGCAACATGCGGACGAGAAAATGACAAGATGTCATAAAGTCTTTATTCAAAATAGACATGTTTTGACCTTTCAAAACTCTAGCTTCCTGTAATTGCCTGTAAGAGGAGGTTTGGAGAAAATGGTTAGAATTTAAGGGTATTGCTAAGAGGTAGCTACCATTGTTTTTGGAGATTTGTCTCTTGAAATGGCTTTCTTCATTTCTAGGAGTACATATCAACTCAGGCACGGTGGCAAAATTGAATATCTGTCGACTACTTGTAAAAGATACATCATTCTACTTAATTTCTTAGGTGTATGTCTTGTCAAAGTGTGTTAATGCTTCCATTTCCAGTCTTGTTTCTGTCCAATCTTCTTGGTAGGTTTATTTCCCCTGGAATCGAAGTGAGAAGAGATTCTAGAAAATCTGACTGTTCTTAAGTTTTCTCTTATAGATCTTTCTTACTCAATCTCTTAGTTACCTATGAATGGTCAGTCTTTCAATTTTAATCTCTTAGTTACCCCAATGGATGAAAAGCCGAAGTTGATTCCAAAAGGCTTTCTGGTTAACATTTAATGGAATTTGGTTCTCAGATTTCATTCTGAACAAAGACCTGTCCAAGGACCATAGCCAAAGACTGCATTGCGCTGCATTATCTTATCACCTTACCCTAATGAATGTGTGGCCAGCAAGAAGTTGAAGGAGATAGCCACAGAATTATGGAAAAAACTAGAAGGCAGTGATACCTTTTCCTATATTTCTGATAGGCTGCATCATAGAGGGGATAAGCAGCCTTCAGGCTTAGGTTTCTTTAACTTGATATTGTTACAAGTGTAACTTACCAAGAGCTACATGCAGCAGAAAAAGAACTTGACTTTGTTTTGACACTTCAGCTTCGTGAAGATGCGGGATTCACATGATGGGAAGAGGGGTAGAAGTTAGAATTAGCAAGAAGGCGATTGAAGAGGGATTTTAACTTGAGATCCCATATCGGTTGGGGAGGAGAACAAAACATTCTTTATAAAACCTTGAGGGGAAGCCCGAAAGGGAAATTCCAAAGAGGACTATCTGCTAGCGGTGGCTTTGGCTGTTACAAATGGTATCGGAGTCAGACACCAGGCGATTTGCCAACGAGGAGGTTGAGCCCCGAAGGGGTGTGGGCATGAGGCGGTGTGCCAATAAGGACACTGGGCCCCGAAGGGGGTAAGATTGGGGAGTCTCACATTGTTTGAAGAAGGGAATGAGTGCCAGCAAGGATACTGAGCCTCGAAGGGGGGTGGATTGTGAGATCCCACATGGTTGAGGAGGATAACAAAGCATTCTTTACAAGGTTGTGGAAACCTCTCCCTAGCATACGTGTTTTAAAAACTTTGAGGGGAAGCTCGAAAGGGAAAACCTAAGAAGGACAATATCTGCTAGCAATGAGCTTGGACTGTTACAAATGGTATCAGAGCCAGAAATCGAGCGGTGTGCCATTGAGGATGTTGAGCTTCGAAGGAGCGTGGATTGTGAGATCCCACATCGAATGGAGAGGAGAACGAAGCATTCTTTATAAGGGTGTGGAAACCTCTCCTTAGTAGAAGCATTTTAAAAACTTTGAGGGGAAGCTCGGAAGGAAAAATTAAAAAAAGGACAATATCTACTAGCAGTGAGCTTGAACCGTTACATTAACATGTGGAAAAAAGCTCAAAGAGGACAATATCTGCTAGAAGTGAGCTTGGGCCGTTACATTAACATGTGGAAAAAAGCTCAAAGAGATATCTGCTAGAAGTGAGCTTGGACCGTTACATTAACACGTGGAAAAAAACCAGATATCTGTCATTCTTACTCTTGTTTTATCCATGAGATCAATGAACTCCTATGATAAAAACAAGCGCAGTTCATTCAGGAAGTTTCTCGTTCACTAAAACCCATCTTAACTGAGCTTCCTGCTCTCTCTTTAAAGCACCTCCTTAAACTAAAGTTTCCAAACAAGAACTTGCAGTGGCATTACAATTCAAACATTGAGTGTGGCCTAAATTGCGAGTGAAAAATTAACCTGAACCCTTTTTTTATGTGGGAGGGTGGTCACAAGTGGCGAAACATTTAATTGCTTCCCATATATGCAGTAATTCTCATCCATTAGTATTTGCAGAAAAGACATCATCTTTTACTTTTAGATCCGTTTCATGTAATTCAGACTAAACTCTTCATAGAACTCTAGTAATAAATTAGCCTAGAATTAGTTTGACTTGTCAAGTCCAATTTTGGCCCCAAAACTCAATAAGCTAAAGATACCCCTAGAAGTTGAGGCAGTTGGCATTGCTTATGTTGTTTAATCACCGTCATATATTTCTAATTTTATAACGGTTGTACAGGGGAAGGAGACAACCCATAAAGAGTTTGGCTGGCAATGCCCATTTTTTGAGGAAATCCGTGCAGTTTTTGCCGCAAGGGAGAAAGCTATGCACCGATTGCTCCTTGAACCTGAAGCAGGTTCTAGTGCAACAAAGAAAAGAGGGAGGGAGAGAAGTTTAGAAGAATTTTCAGATCTCAAAGAACTTGATGAAGAAGAAAGTGAGGAGGAGATCCCAACTCAAAGCAACTCACAGAAGGGAAAGGCTATAGGAACTCTCCCAGCAAAGTCTTCAAGAACAGCTGGTTCTAAACGTTCAAGTAGCTCGGTTAGTAATGAAATCCTAGAGTTGTTGAAGGGCTTCTTTCAGTGGCAGCAGAGGATGGAAATGGAATGGAGGGAAATACTTGAGAGACATTACAACAACCGACGAATGTTCGAGCAGGAATGGCGTGACTCGATGGAGAAGCTCGAGAGGGAGAGGTTAATGGCTGAGAAAGCTTGGAGGGAAAGAGAAGAACAGAGAAAGAAAAGACAAGATATCCGAGCTGAAGGAATGGATGCTCTCTTAACAGACCTTTTAAACAAGCTCAACCGCGAAAATAATTTATGAGACGATGAGATAAAAAACAGTGCTGATTCCCGAGAATGAGATAGTTGAAGCAAAAAAGGAAGAATGTAGTTACAGCAACACCATTTTTGAAGGCATGGTAGATATAAAAAATTTTGGTTTCCTTTTTTCTTTGGGGTGGCTGATAGTACATATCACATATGCAATTTTTCACAAGTGTCTAGCCTGATTGTATGCATACAGAGAGTGAACAGTTTTCTCCCAGGAATATATAGCTCTTGGAAGAAAAAAGAACACATTGTTATGTACATTATTGAAGAAAACCTATGAAGTTTAGCTTGAATTAAGAATCTTATTACTATGATCACCTCTCTATTCTCTTCTGTGATGATTAGCCTATTCATTTGTACCATTTTATGCTGGAAACAAGGCGATTTCTTTCAAGGATTCCATATTTTCTAAGGCACAGAGAAAATTAGACTGGGAATGTGGAAGAAGCATGCTAGAGTTTGGTTTACAAGTGACAGAACAAATCATCATTCTTTCTAGTACATTTTAAGAACAATAAATATGAAGACAATACCAGCAACTTTCATTGATCTGAACATCAGAGAACTTTGAAATGCCTTCAATATATAGTGACACACATACTGAAACATGCAAGCGACGATTCAGCCCGATTCTGATGGTGGCTTTTCCTTTGGATGTTTGGAGGCATAATGATCGCCCAATTGGTTATGATTTGCTAGTTGTACCTGAGGTAAGAACAAGATTATTGAATTCATCTTGCAAGTACCAAAAGCAAGAAAAGTTTGTTCATATTATCATAATGCACAATGCATTATACTCGGGAACTTCAAAACAGAGAAATTTAGCTTCATTTTTCCTTCATTCTTCTACTCCCTCCTATGTCTAGTTCAACATTTACGGCCACATTGACGATATGTTTCGTGATTTTCGCCCCCGAGAAAGAGATCAATTCACAAAGTTCTCGAAGACAAATATGATAAACATGGATTCTAGTATGTAATTGTATGAAGAGCAAGATGAATGGATTCTACCTCAATCAACAACAAATTTGAGCTAGGTCAGTCATGGGGTTATTTCCAACCTAGTCTAGAATCAAGACCAAACAAAGCTTCACCTTAACTATGTACAAGGTACCTGTGAAAGCTCTAACCGTGATGGACGCATGCACTCGCAACCCAAAAGTCAAGGGAAAGATTCCACTTCTTCCCAAGAACAAGATCAATCCACTTGCTAAACATAATAGTTTGTAGAGAACTGGGTGGCATCCAAGAAAAGCAATCACAGAGAAAAAATTTGAACTCAACAGACAAATTAGGAACCCAAATGAGAAGAGAAAAGAAATCGTCCTCTGAAGTTTTACCAATAGAGGTGTGATTTTGGACTTATAGAGTATCAAGTTCTTTTCTCCCAATAAGGCCTCTCAGGACAATATCAAGGGTACAACATAGCCAGAACAGTTTGAAGTTTAGAATCCGGCCTCATATTATCTAGATTTAAGGCTCGAACCTTCTCGAGTAAGCAAATTGTGGTGGTTAAGACAAATAATATGCTGTTCTAATACAAGTCCTTACTTATAAACCCATGATCATTCCTTAAATTAGCCAACGTGGGACTCCCTCCCAACAATCCTCAACAATCCTCCCCTCGAACAAAGTAAACTATATAGTCTCTTCTAAGGTCTATGGAGCTCTCGAACAGGCTCCCTTTAATTGAGGCTCGACTCCTTCTCTGGAGTCCTCGAACAAAGTACACCCTTTGTTCAACATTTGATTCACACTTTTGACTATACCTTCGAGCCTCACAACTTCTTTGTTCAACATTTGAGGATTCTATATTGACATGGCTAAGTTAAGGACATAACTCTAATACCATGTTAGGAATCACGAACCTTACAATAGTATGATATTGTCCACTTTGAGCATAAACTCTCAAAGTAGGGAGATGTTTCCACACCCTTATAAGCAGTATTTCGTTCTCCTTTCCCGACACAGGATCTCACAATCCACCCACTTGGGGGGCCAACGTCCTTGCCGGCAGAAAGTGAAAATAAAACCCCAAATTGATCATATTCCAACGACTTTCTTGCGAATGGAGACCAACAACAGAACAAGAAATATGAAGTGTATTCAAAAGCAAGAACAGAGAACAGGCAAGAAAAAGGATGATGTCATTTTGGTTGCCAGATATGGGATTGCCAGTTGCTTCAACACATACCATTAATTAAGACCAGAATAGAGATTAAAACTGAACAAATGAACACTCAAATCCAATAGAGTCGTATAAGAGCAACGAAGATTGGAGAAGATGAGAACCTTGCAAATAGGGCAGATAACTTTAAGGGCAACGGCTCTGGCCTCGAGTTGTGAGCCCTTGGGCTTCTGATTCTTCTCCGCATTTCGTTTCTGAGCTTCGATCTTCTGTTTTCCTCGGGTCATCTTCTTCCTTCAAAATTTCGAGCAGACGATCCGATTTGGGAAATTCTGATCACAAAAAAGCCATGCATCACTTTTATTTTATCACAATAAATATTGAAACCATTGAAACCAAGTTGACCGGATCAAAATGACAAAACTATCCCTCTATCTTCCAAGATTCTCATTTTAACAAAATCATATTTTCGTCAATTTACTTCTATAAATTATACAATCCATAATTTCATAATTTCTTGGTTGAGATGTCTACGTGGACGTGGACGATGAAGTCTTTTTCGTCCTTTTTCCTATTTCAATTTTCTTTTTTTTTATATATATATTTTTTTCAAAAAAATAAATTAATAAATAATTTCTATTTTTTTAATAAAAATGGTAGAATGTTATAATAAACCTAATAATTTTCATAAGGTTCAATATAATCTCTATGTTGCTTGAAATATAGAAGAAATCTCTCCTAATTTCTTCTTTCATTCCAGGTTTAATTTGTATAAATATAGTGAAAATACGATAATGCACCGAAAAAATTAAAAGAAATTTCAAATATGCAGCCAAATTAATATATAGTGAAAAAAAAATCTATAATATTTATTCATTTTAATTATTTTTTTCCAAGGTAAATTTATTTTGAAACAAGCATTTAAATATTTTACGTACATTTTATTGATTTAGGGTAGTAGAATTGAGGTTAAATGCTGATTAATAACTCACATTTATTCATTTCAATTGTTGTTGTCATCATATTTTTTTTTAATTAAATTATATAAAATTATTGAGTTTTATTTTATGGTGACGCAAACAGGTGCATCAAGAAAAATAGCGTTGGTATAGCTAAAAATTCTTATGGTGGTTTTTGAGAACTATTTCTCGTTTCTTTCTTTTTTAATTAAAATAAAATTTAGAATATAAATAATATATAATATCATTATGAAGAGATTGTAGTGTTTATTCAGCTACAAAGACAAATTAAAAATACCATATTATATCTTTTCAACGTTGTTAAAATTTGATTTTGTAATATTACTGCTTGTTCCAGTCAATTTACTGTCGGACTTACTTGATTTAGGCTAGTTGTAGCTTTTATAACAGTTTTTTGCGCCCTCCCTCTTCACCAATGATTTCTAATAACAGGCAAAAACAAGTTGAAATTGACTTTTGAAAAAAAAAAATCTTTAAAATAATTAAAAAAAATTTAAGGTACAAAAATAGTAATTAAAATACTTTTTTCAAAAAGTTGTCAAACCAGTAAGGGTATGCAATCCAGAGCCTTGCTCCCAATCCCATGTGCAATTTTCTCTGTCTCGATATCTATTCACAACACAAACCTCAATTCTTAATCACGTAAATAATTTTACAATATAAAAATAAACAAAACCAAGATGAAAGATGATGGCAAAAATCACGAGTAGAGAGCCAAATGAAAGCTACAGACTACAAGACTCATAAGATTGTACGTAGGCAATACAATGTGCTGATTCATTAAATAAAATCACACTTTACAGAGAAAGAAGGAAAGTGAAGAATCACTTAAGGAGCAATTTGATTTTGTACAGACGCTTATGTTCAATCAAATACCAAACGAGGACAGACGAAATTACAATTAAGGAAGAAGTGGAAATTACTAGTGGAATTTTCTCTAACTTGGGCGTACGTAAGAATCATGCACAATAGAGCACATATCATCATTAAATAGTAATAGGGGCCATAGGGATCATTAAGAATTTGATGAAACTACTCACAAGAGAAGAACAAATGGATGGCAATGGTAGAGAGCAGCTTCTAATTATCTATAATGAATAGCAGGCAGCATAAGTGGAAATCGAGAGAGACAGAGACAGAGACAGACCACACCTGAATGTTGGTACTACTTCTGCAATGAAACAAACTCCACCATGCTTTGTGATTCTCAAAAACTACTGTTAATCAGAATTGGAATCATCGAAGTCACTTGGGCATGGCGTCATAACCTCAGACTCAAAGAACTGGACGACTCGGTGCATGGTCGGCCGATCATCTGGACTAGAAGAAACACACTGAATAGCAAGCCTGAGCAATGCGTCAAGAGTTTCTGTCTGCACTCCTTCACATTGTGAATCAACTATTTCTCGTTGCCTATTCTCCGTGAGAAGAAAATTTAGCTGCAAAAAAAAAAAGGAGAGGGATCAGTGTGGAAAATAGATCTTGTGCAGACATGATTATGCTTATAAGACAACTACCCAACTCATAAGATATTAAATTCTAATTAGGCAGCCTGCGCAACTTTCAGCCATTCCCTCTACGCCCTTTATTATTTACATTGACCACTTGCCCAACCCATATGGTTGCAAGGAAGAGCAGTTTTGAAGACAGAATTCAAGTGAGGATTGACCAGGCTATGAACTCTAGAAGTTTGATCTAGAACAGATTTCACATCTGCTAAGTCAGCATAGCCTACAACATCACTCAGCAACAACTGAAGTATGTGGATGCTATGAAAAGCTAGTAATACCTAATAAGTGGATAATTAAAGCTATCTAAAAAGATATTAGAGTTTAAGAGAAGCTATGGGGGAAAATGCATACCCAGCCAACAATGTTCAGGCCTTTCTCAATAAATGATGCATCTGTCGGTCGCTTTCCACTCAGTACTTCAAGTACTAGGACTCCAAAACTATATACATCGGTCTTTTCAGTTGCTCTACCACTTTGCATATATTCTGTCAAATCAGAAATTACAAGGAATGAGAGATTTAAATTTTAAGAGAAGAATGAAAGTATGGGCTAAACAGAAAGAAAAGGCATCAAACAAAAGAAGGCCCACAAGAATTACAGATTTCAGCTTCACTAATTAAGAATATAAAAAATAAAGGATAATTACAAAAATGTTTTATAGTAGGTGAAAAAAGGACAATTAGTTTTAATGCAAATTCATCCAAGTAACAGATTGGTGATCGGAAATCACAATTGTGCCAATTGCAGATGCTGAAGAGAACCATTATATTACAGAACTCCAAGCAAGATGAAGGCTATAAGATCAAATGGATGAACAGCAGCCATTGGTGATGATTATTTCGTCATAAAATAAATTATTCCCCAACACTCCATGAAATTCTAAAGACTGCTTACCAGGGGCCAAATAACCAAATGTTCCGGCAACAATGGTTGTAATGTGAGATTTATCATCATCCAGAAGCTTAGCAAGTCCAAAGTCAGAAACTCGAGCATCCAGATTTCCATCAAGTAAAATGTTGCTCGACTTGATATCCCGATGTATGATTCTGGGTGAACAATCATGGTGCAGATAGGCAAGCCCTTTCGCTGCTCCCAATATAATATTCAAGCGTGTGTCCCAATCTAATGGCTCAGATCTTTCTGTAAGGTATAATATGCATGAGGTATCTTTAAATGACATACTGGGAAGAAAATTTACCACAAAAGAACTCAGATGGAAGACGATGATTTTATTGTTAAGTGGACTAGACTGCCCAGCATGTAATATTTATACTGAAGGCATAAAATCTACTTAATGTCAATGCAAGAATACATCATGTAAAATAGTGTATAACACATGAGTGCATAGTCATTAGAATAATGTTTCTTTTAATGAAAGCTTGATGACGAGAGGAAGAGTCTCACCATGAAGGGCCTCGTCAAGGCTGCCCCCAGATAGGTAATCATAAATCAACAATTTCGACGTGGGAGAATTGCAATATCCTCTCAAATTAACAAGGTATCGATGCTTTAAGCTTCCAAGAATTTCAAGTTCCCTCTCAAAAAAGTGATCAAACCCCTCATTTATCTTTACAATATTTTTCAAAGCAAATACATTGCCATCATCCATTGCAAGCCTGTAAACTGTTCCAAAACCCCCAGAACCGATGATGTGTTCCTCATTCAAGGTTTCCAACTTCTTCATAATGTCTTTTGAAGAGTATGGCAAGTCTCCATGAAACATCACAACTGATGCGCCTGTAGAAGTCAGCCTATGGTCATAAAGATGCTAAAACCTTGGCACTAAGGAAAATATTGGCATAAACAACGAGAATACGGTAAATAGATAATTTAACATAGTTCATTAAATTGTAAAGAAGAGTACCTCCACCGACATTCTTTGCAAGACCCTTCTTTTCATTTCTTCCAAATCTTTTAAAAAGAAAGGAGCCCCAGAAACACATAAGAGCAACAAGTAGTAGTGCCCCCACTGTAGCTGATGCACTTATGAGTAGCCGACCAGAGTACTTCTTCCTCATTTGATTTTGGCCTACAGAAAAAGGAAAAGGGGATGACTAAGGACTTAACCACATAAGCTCATTGAATGAATTTCAGAGCTGTCATGTGTATTGTATTAATATACGGAACATACAAGAGATACAGGGGCCAGAAATGAAAAGATGCATCAAAATAATGGAAATTAAATGATTCGCAATCATTCAAATAACCAACTATAATAATGATATCACCTGAGCCTGGGGATTCAGAATTTGTTCCAGATCCAGTGTTGTTGTCTTTGCAAGTGACACTAACTTGTTTGCCACATAAACCACGATTTCCAACAAAGCTGCAGGTGCAAATCAATGTACTTTCTTATAAAAATGTCATTGTATTTGCAGGTTAAGTCATCAAGAGAAATCAAACAGTCATTGCAGTAAAAGTTTACTCATAAGGTTTTGAATAAGCAGTACTTACGAAGACTCTGAAAACTTGGAAAGAACACCATCAGAAGGTACTGGTCCAATTAAAAAATTTGACGACACATTGCTGTCCAAGTGCATGTCAGGTAATAGGGTCACTAAATGAAAATTTATATTTTATAGGAAGTACCTATTATCAAACACTATAAAAGATTTCATAATGTAAAGCCACTTACAGAATAGCGAGCTTATCCAAATTCCCGAGGGATGTTGGAATATTTCCACTAAGTGAGTTGCTTGAAACATCTCTACAACATGAGAAGAAAAATATTTAAATCGTTTCTCTAGCAGAAGACCAAACTCTCATTGATTTTGTGTCTAATTTTTCTAGGTGAAACGATTCCCAACTTCATATTTAATTATACAGCTGCTGTAAAGCAGCACTAAGCATTTGGATATCTTTATTTCCAACAAGTTTTAAGTAGC